ATATGACAACACACACACACACACACACACACACACACACAGACACACACACACACACAGAGAGAGAGAGAGAGAGAGAGAGAGAGAGAGAGAGAGAGAGAGAGAGAGAGAGAGAGAGAGAGAGAGACTCTGAGAGAGCACGTGTCCCGATGTTCCCTTTGTGGCACTTGAGGTTCCCAATCAACGGTCTGAAATGCAGAGGCCGCGGAAATGGGACTTCGCAAGTTGCTTCGGTTCACTCATCAGCTCCGCGGTAGTTGGACTGACACGATACAGAGGGCCGATTAGCATGGCCGCTGCGGGGTGAGTCATGCAGACACACACAAACCGAGAAAATGACAGTGGTCTTTTTCTTTTTCGCACTTTTTTTTTGGAATTCGATAATGTTTTTGGCGATGAGAAGTGAGGAGTCCATGGGGCACAAAGTGGCTGAGAAAAAAAAATGAAAAAGGTGGCTGAGCAGAAGACAAAGGTCCTTGCTCCACTACTGCCAAAATGGTAACATACGACATGGCACATGCAGAAAAAGACAAATAATATGCGGATGCGTCCTTCCATGTTTAACGGGAAGATCCATTCTCATTTTGCAGATTTGACGAGTAGAGGAGCGAGGCCCACATTCTCAAGAACGCAAGGGTCCTCGGCATGCCGATCTCGGCGATCTGAAAATCTCATGCATGCCCCTCACGACGGTGGCCACGTGGAGAAAGAGTACCGAACACTTTATCCTCTTCAACCACCAGCAGGCAATTGGGCGCGGGGGTGCGAGGTCCCACTTCCTTCTTTCCCATTAGGTACGGTCATTATAGCTCTATTTAGACGGAAAGATACCCCGAATTCTGCTATAATGACGGTGTAGCAAAGGGGAAATCCGAATGCAGGGATGCATAAAAGCAGATCGATCGCGATTTTGTCCATGTTATCACAAACACGTCCAGATTCCGGCTTCAAATCCAACCCTCTTGGCAAATGGAACCTCGCCTCGGGGCGAGATGCCACTCGAAATCTAGATACATTTTATCCAACGAAGCCGACATGCAGATCAATCGCAAATTCATGCACCTATACGTCAAACACGTCTAGATTCGGGCTTGAAATCCAATCCTCTTTGCCAGTGGAACCTCCCCACCTGACAAGTGGGCTTCAGAACCTCAGTCAGGGGGCCAAGGTCCGATTTGAATTTACATCGACTCTTCCTATATGCATGGATTGGGGAGAAAAAGTGCGAGGGGGGCCTCCCCCGAGAGAAAGGAGTTGTCTTGGAGTTTTATTCTCCTATGCATGACGCATATAGTACTGTCCCCAATAGAACGTAGGGTAATTGCCCCTTTAACTAGGGCCAAATACAACCAGAATGACCAGACCCTTTATTCGGGGGAAGACGGTAGGTCTTCGTGAACGGAGAGATCTGGGCGCATTTGCAGCTATCAGGTAGGATAAATCTAGCTTTGCCCGTACTTGCGATCAGATACGTCCAGCCAAAAGTCCTATCTGAAGGTAGTGTGAGAGAGATCCAGGCCTCACGATGTCATCATGCGTGAGCAAGCGCAATCCAACTGCAGTACACTGCAGTACAGTATAAGTACAAACGGGCTGCCAGCTGCGAAGACATAGTCGCTTGCTCCGTTCGAGGTCCGAGTCACGGGAGATCTGATCTGCGGCGTAACCTCATTCCCTCGCTGGCCTTCGGGCATCTGAGCGGGGTGGCGGCTTCGTCTGATGTTGTGGCCTCCTTAGAGTTGGGACCGGGATCGGATCTCCCGTCGCTCCGGCGCATCTTAGAGAACCTGAAGCATTGTCTGTTGAGGAGGTCGCGTTCTCGTGGCGATCGGAAGTAGACTCTCCTTCATTCAGCGTTCGGGGACAGCTGTTGACGTCAACTGAGGAATCAGCTCGAGTCAACTCCAGCCATCGATCTTCAGGTCAGTGGAGCTTAACGCCTACGATGGACAACGCTGACAGCTTCAGCCGTCGTTAGCGCTTAGCCACGGACGCAGGGAATGCAAGCCTGCGATTGTGATACTGCCCACGACCGTGACC